AATTCTCCTGCCTCAGCCTCCTGAGTAGCTGGGATTACAGGCACGCACCACCATGCCCAGCTAATTTTTTGTATTTTTAGTAGAGACGGGGTTTCACCATGTTGACCAGGATGGTCTCGATCTTTTGACCTCGTGATCCACCCGCCTCTGCCTCCCAAAGTGCTGGGATTACAGGCTTGAGCCACCGCGCCCGGCCAGATCCTGTTTTTAAAATAGTGAAAAGTTGCTCTGTCCATTATGGTAGCTAGTAAACATATGTGGCTATTTAAATTGATTAAAATTAAATAAAATAAAAATTGCAGTTTCTCATTTGCATTGGTTACATTTCAAATGCTCAGTAGCTAAGTGTGGCTATTGCTACTGTATTACACAACACAGATATATAGAACATTTCCATTGCTGGAGAAAGTTCTTTTGAAGAATGCTAGTTTAAAGCATAACTTATAAAGAAACTGGAAAGCCGGGCGCGGTGGTTCAAGCCTGTAATCCCAGCACTTTGGGAGGCCGAGGCGGGTGGATCATGAGGTCAAGAGATCAAGACCATCCTGGTCAACATGGTGAAACCCCATCTCTACTAAAAATACAAAACATTAGCTGGGCATAGTGGCGCGTGCCTGTAATCCCAGTTACTCAGGAGGCTGAGGCAGGAGAATTGCCTGAACCCAGGAGGCGGAGGTTGCAGTGAGCCAAGATCGTGCCATTGCACTCCAGCCTGGGTAACAAGAGTGAAACTCTGTCTCAAAAAAAAAAAAAAAAAGAAACTGGAAATACAAGAAATGCTGGGTTCCCCATTTATACTGATGTGATTACTATACCTTTTGTGCCTGTATCAAAATATCTCATATACCCCATAAATACATATACCTACTATCTACCCATAAAAATTAAACATTAAAAAAAAAAAATAAGACTTGGCCTGGCATGGTGGCTCATGCCTGTAATCCTAGCACTTTGGGAGCCAAGGCGGGCAGATCACCTGAATTAAGGAGTTCAAGACCAGCCTGGCCAACATGGTGAAACCCTGTCTCTACTAAAAATACAAAAATTAGCCAGGTGTGGTGGCTCACACCTGTAATCCCAGCTACTTAGGAGGCTGGGGCAGGAGAATTGCTAGAACCTGGGAGGCAGAGGCTGCAGAGCTGCAGTGGGTGAGCCCAGATCACGACACTATACTCCAGCTTGGGTGGCAGAGTGAGACTCTGTCTCAAAAAAAAAAAAAAAAAAAGCCTATGGGAAAAGCTTTACTTAAAAGATATTAAAAGAGGAAAAAAAGAAAAAAACCTGGAGATTTAGTTAGGTTTTAAAAAAGTCCTTTATAAGAATGGCAGAGGTTGGCCGGGCGTGGTGGCTCACGCCTGTAATCCTAGCACTTTGGGAGGCCCAGGTGGGTGGATCACCTGAAGTCAGGAGTTCAGGACCAACCTGGCCATCATGGTGAAACCCCATCGATATATATTTTTTTTAGTTAAAAAAAAGAAAGAAGAAAAAAAAGAATGGCAGAGGATGTCAAAACACTGAATAACCATAGTTTATTTGCTCTTATTGGAATATATTACAAGAGTGAAAAATCTGTTATGAGTTTTTAATTCTCAAACTGAATATTTGAATTTCAAGGATGAAGAAGATGATGATGACTATGTTGAAGAAGGAGAAGAGGAGGAAGAAGAAGGTGAGTTACATTAGCCGTAAACAAATTATAAAATTAAAGACATAGTTATTTTTTAGACAGTTTATTTATCTTACACTTTAAAGAATGAGTGTATAATGTAGATTTTTACTGATCCCTTTGATTTTGCTTTATCATAGAGTACCTTCAAAGTTATAAAAGTTTTTTTGTTTTAAGAGTAATTGTCTTAGAGCACTCATTAATTCCATTAAAAACAAACAGCTTATAACGTTTATTGTAAAAACAGAAATGAAGGGACGAATGGAACCTTGGACTCAATTTATTGTTTTCATAGAGCCTCATTTTGGAGAGAGTGAAGCTTATTTGTAAGAGAGGAGCAGTTGAATTGCAGATAATTAATGCCCTTTTTAGATTTGCTTTCTAGGCCTTTCAAAAAAAATTTTTTTTTTGAAACACGATGGCGCAATCTCCACTGACTGCAACCTCCACCTCCTGGGTTCAAGTGATTCTCTTGCCTCAGCTTCCCAAGTAGCGGGGATTACAGGTGCCTGCCACCATTCCTGGCTGATTTTTTTTTTTTTTTTTGTATTTTTAGTAGAGACAGGGTTTTGCCATGTTGGCCAGGGTGGTCTTGAACTCCTGGCCTTAAGTGATCCACCTGCCTCAGTCTTTCAAAGTGCTGGGATTACTATTGTGAGGTTTCACTCTTTTGCCTAGGCTGGAGTGCACGGCTCACTGCAGCCTCAATCTCCTTGGGCTCAGGTGATCCTCCCCATCTCAGCCTCCCAAGTAGCTGGGACTACAGGGACACACCATCACACCCCACTAATTTTTTTTTTTTTGTGGAGATGGAGTTCGCCATATTGCCCAGGCTGTCTTGAACTCTGGGTTCAAGCGATCTGCCCATCCTGGGCTCCCAAAGTGCTCAGATTATAGATGTGAGCCACCGTGGCCAACCAATATTTTTATTTTATTTTACTGTTTTGAGACAGGGTCTCTGTCAGCAGTGAGTGCAGTGGGACATTCATAGCTCACTGCAGCCTCGGCCTCTAAGGCTTAAGCTATCCTCCCACCTCAGCCTCTTCCAAAGTAGCTGAGACTACAGGTGTGCACCACTACACCTTGCTAATATTTTTATTTATTGTTTAGACGGGGTCTTGCTGTTGCCCAGGCTGGTCTTGACCTCCTGCACCCAGCCTCAAAATAATTTTTTTTTTTTGAGATGGAGTCTCGCTCTGTCATTCAGGTTGGAGTGCAGTGCCGTGATCCCCACTCGCTGCAACCTCGGCCTGCTGGGTTCAAGTGATTCTCCTGCCTCAGCCTCACGAGTAGCTGGGATTACAGGCGCATGCCACGATGTCGGGTTAATTTTTTGTATTTTTAATAGAGATGGGTTTCACTATGTCAGCCAGGATGGTCTTGATCTTCTGACCTTGTGATCTGCTCGCCTCGGCCTCCCAGTGTTGGGATTACAGGCATGAGCCACTGCGCCCAGCTGAGCCTCAAAATAATTTTTAAAGTTTACTAACAATTGCATCGATGTCAAGCCCCTAGTTTCTTAATCTGTACTTCATGATATGGCCACAAGGGTGCATAGCAAACTGTAATTATTTATGGATTTCTAAGTGTGTTTTCAACCTACTTAAATTTAAAAAAATTCAGAGAGGAAACTTGAAGTATAAGTTCCTTCCTTCCTCCCTTGGTCCCTTCCTCCTAACCTCCCTCTCTCTTTTGAGACAGTCTCTTTCTGTCACCCATACTGGAGTACAGTGGCACAATCTTGGCTCACCGCAACCTCCGCCTCCTCGGTTCAAGCGATTCTCCTGCCCCAGCCTCTCAAGTAGTTGGGACTGCTGGCGCCTGCCACCACACCCAGCTAATTTTTGTATTTTTAGTAGAGATGAGGGTTTCACCCTGTTGGCCAGCCTGGTCTCCAACTCCCGACCTCAAGTGATCTGCCCGCTTTGGTCTCCCAAAGTGCCGGGATTACAGGCGTGAGCCACTGTGCCTGGCCAATTTTCTTCTGCCATTAACCGTTTTTTTTTGGAGACAAAGTTTTTCTCTGTTTCTCAGGCTGGAGTGCAGTGGCATGATCTTGGCTCACTGCAACCTCTGCCTACCGCTTCCTGAGTTCAAGTAATTCTCCTGCCTCAGCCTCTCGAGTAGCTGGGATTACAGGTGCCTACCACCATATCCAGCTAATTTTTTGTATTTTTAGTAGAGATGGGGTTTCACCTTGTTGGCCAGGGCTCAAGTGATCTGCCTGCCTGGCCTCTCAAAGTGCTGGGATTACAGGTGTGAGCCACCGCACTAGGCCCTGCCATTAACTTTTCACTAAGATTCAAAACTTTGTAATGGAACCAATGCTCATTTGTTAAAATGAAGCCTTTTACATTTTTCCTTCCACTCTTTTAGAAGAAGAAAGTGTTCGAGGGGAGAAGAGGAAACGAGATGCTGAAGATGATGGAGAGGAAGAAGACGACTAGATCATTCTAAGACCAGATTCTCTAATGTTTCTGGGTGTGCAATAGAGTGATCACGTCTTTGTTTCTTCATGTACGATAGCTATCCCTACAGAAGATAATGTGTAACTTTTTATAGGAAAAGTGTGGTTTTACTATTTTTGCCTTATCATTCCAAATAAGAACTAGTCTGTTAATGATCATATTGTATGTAGAGAAAAATTTTCATTAACTACCATTGTGGAATTCCCTAGCAATTTATTTAGACTCTTAATTTTTAAAATTCAAGCTTACTGTATTAGGCATTTTTAGCTCATAATTAAAACATGATCACTTTTACACAGGTGTAGTTTGATGCATTTCATTCCTTATTTATAAATTAACTGAAATTACAGTTTGCTGTAATATGAAATGACAATAGTCTCTTGAGTGGTAAGTTGGTTATTTTTTTAGAGGTGATCCAGGGATCTTTAGTTTAGTTACCTTTTTTTTGAGTAAGAGTGTTTGGTTGCTTTTTTGTCACAAGTAACTTGGAAAGTAGAAGCAGAATAGTAAAGGTTCTATTCAGCAACATAGTTCACAGATTTTGTGGAGGTTCTGTTCAGTAACATAGTTCATGGATTTAGTGGTGACTGATTCATCTTTGAAGGACTGATTTTATTTTTGAAGGAAAAATCGCTTATACCAAGTCAGAGACATGCAGGTGAACCGTTTCATCAGGCTGCAAATCATGACATGCCGATGGTGGTTTATTTTGTTTTGGGTGTGCATTCTTTTTCTTCTTAGCAATTTCTTTATGATCACCTTCCCTTCTTGTTTCGCTTCCCTCCTGCTCTCTCAAAAGAAAGTTGGGAAACTTGTGAATACCCAGGAAAACCTTTAGTCTTATACCTCAGCTACCTTTCAGTCCTGTCTGGGTTTTAAATAAGTGAAGTGAAAGAAATTGACTATTTTCTGACCTAAGAATAAATTATCAATACAGTTTTATGCAGTAAGCTCTGCTTACCATAAATGTTTCTTGGTTGACAACATCTAAGATTATATTAGTAGGATGAGGAAAGAAAAGCAGGGGGTGGTTTTGGAAGCAGTATTAGTGTTCCCCAAAAGTCAGAACAATTGCCTGTTGATAATAAGACATTAAAGTCAAATTTTAAAGTTGGCTTCTCAAATGTTTGGATACCACTCTGCAAAGTATTCCTAATTTTTCTGAGTAGAACCTTTAATTCCTACAGTTTTAAAGCATTACCAGATAAAATAATAGCATTTAATTGGAATATACTAGGCAGTTGAAAAATACTTAAAACTAAATCGACATTAAAATTAAGATTTGTTTTCAAGTGTATGTCCATTAAAAGTAGAAAAATATTTGGGATGTGAGTGTGTGTTTCCTTACATGGCTACTAAATAAAATATAATGAATAGACAAGTATATCTCCCCTTTTGCTATGGCGGCTCAATGTTCAAGGCAATGGCTTTTTAAACCTTGGCTATCTAAATTTTTTCCCTTTGTTTTGAATATTTGTAAGTTTTTAAAAAGTTAGTGTCGGCAGACTGATTGAGGTTATGCTTCTGTACCTGGGACACGTTTAAATACTGAGTATAGTACTGCTGCTACTGCTTCTACAATGCAAAATGTGTGACTTGATGTTTAAACGTAAAAATTATGATGTTACTTGTGGAGAAACTAAAAAAGCTGCACAACTGACTGAAATAAAACACTTGGAATAAGTGTAGTGAGGGGATTGGAATCTCCAAAAAACTAACATTTTTCTTCTGCTTTTAAAAATTGAAATGCCCTGTTATAGTTCCTAACGATTCTCATTACATAACTATGCCAGATTACAAAAATACTTATTTTTAAAATGAAATCTATATATTGACTTTCTTATCAATCATCTTACTGTGCAATCAAAATTAGAGTACTTTGGTTTGAAAACAACACTTAGAGCCTCCAGGTAACTTTTAAGACTTACTTAGCTTTGTGGGTGGTATTTTCATGCAAATAAGTAAGGGTGGGTTTTATATTTTGTAGAAGTTTTCGGTCCTATTTTAATGCTCTTTGTATGGCAGGATGTATATAGTGTGTTAAGTTCCCCAAGAATCTCCTTTAAAACTTTGAAGTTAATACTTTTGTGCAACTGTGTTTTGAATAAAGCCATGACAGTGTTAAAAACAAACAAACAAATTTGCAGTACTCCTGATTATTCTTTTATTGTTTCTGACTGTTCCTGTTTTTTTCTGTGACTGCTGTAACTTAAAGTTTTTGAAACTGAATTGCTTCAAATAAATTGAAGATTTGTTATAATGATTAGTTTCAGTGTATAACATTCACTTTTTCAACAATACCATTGGTGGCTTTGAAGGTCTTTTTCAAAAACCAACAGCTTGAAAGTTAACTGATTTAAATACTTGGATGTGATATAACGCATTACGATTTAATAGTTTAACTCATCATTTTTACTTCCTTCTTTTCTAAAAGACAGAAAAAAAGTCTGGATTCTCTTAATTTTCCTTTTAGGGTTGCAAATTGAGCCAGTACTTTTTGCAGTTTGATTTGAGGTAATTAGTTTATTACCTATACTTGTATTATCTGTGGTTTATTAAAGTGATTGTAAGACTATTGTATATCAATAGTTTTTTTTCTAAAATGAATCTGAAGTTCTCCATTTATGCAGTATGTTTATATTCTGAATCTTGATAATATAAATACAAATATACATAATACTTAAATGTTTACCTTGAGCAAAATCAAACTTGAAACAGCATGTTTTTTTCTGCTCTCCTTTTTTTTTGGTTTCCCTATGGTAAGTGATCTTAAAAGTGGTCATATGTAGACAACTGGAATTTTATAAAGTCGAGGCACAAGTATAATTAGTAATGTTTTCATGATTGCTTTACGGTTTAATATTGAAAAGATATTGAAGCCTGGCTCCATGACTCACGCCTGTAATTCCCATATTTTGGGAGGCCGAGGTGGGTGGATCGTGAGGTCAGGAGTTCGAGACCAGTCTGACTGATGAGACCTCGTCTCTACTAAAATTACAAAATTAGCGGGGTGTGGTGGTGCACACTTGTAATCCCAGCTACCCAGGAGGCTGAGGCTTGAGAATCCGCTGGAATCTCGGAGGTGAAGGTTGCAGTGAGCCAAGATTGTGCCACTGCACTCCATCCTGGGAGACAAGTGAGACTCTGTCTCAAAAAAAAAAATATTGAAAAGGTATTTTAATTATTGAACTCTGCTTCCTGAGAGGTGGAAAATACTGAAGTATTGTTGACTGAAATTAATATATATATTTTTGCATGTTTTACATCTTTAAAAAATTCAAAGCCTTTCACCTCTTGGTTACATGGTAGAACCACACAAATTTTATGATGAAGTTGTTAGATAATGAAGCAATTCAGTGAGAGACTGTGATTGAAAACATTTTTAAGTGTGGTTTGTTCTATATTTTAAAGAGAGGCTTTTGATTGTGGCATGCTTTCAGTTGCTGAGAATTTCCCCTCTCTTGTTTCTAGTACTGGATGCAATGATATTCTGCAGCTGTTGCTTAATTATAGAATTCTACTACTGCATGCCTTTTTCATGTACTAATTCAGCCTAAGACTTGAGAATCTGGCCTGGGTACTTCCATCTGAGGCAGTTATTTGTGTTACAAACCCTAACTTGAAGGGGAATGGTTACACCACAAAATGGAAATTAAAAATGAGTTGATCGCCAGGGAATTTTTTTTTTTTTTTGAGACTAGTCTTGCTCTGTTGCCCAGGCTGGAGTGCAGTGGCGTGATCTTGGCTCACTGCAACCTCTGCCTCCCCGGTTCAAGGGATTCTCTTACCTCAGCCTCCCGAGTAGCTGGGATCACAGGCAGGAGCCACCATGCCCCGCTCAACTTATATATATATATATATATATTTTTTTTTATTTTTTTTTTTTTTTTTTTTAGTAGAGATGGGGTTTCACTGTGTTGCCTAGGCTGGCCTTGAACTCCTTTCCTGAAGTGACCTGCCCACCTCGGTCTCCCAAAGTGCTGGGATTACAGGCGTGAGCCAGTGCAGCCAACCTAAAATACATGATTTTTTAAAAATCTAGTCACATTTTTGGGTAGTAAGACCCTGAAGTAGGGTTATCCCATAATGCCCTGGGGCTGGGTGCGGTGGCTCACGCTTGTAATCCCAGCACTTTGGGAGGCTGAGGCGGGCAGATTTCCTGAAGTTAGGAGTTCCAGACCAGCCTGCCCAACATGATGAAACTCCATCTGTACTAAAAATATGAAAATAAGCCAAGCGTGGTAGCACTCACCTGTAATCCCAGCTACTCCGGAGGCTGAGGCAGGAGAATCTTTTGAACCTGGCGGGGCAGAGGTTGCAGTGAACTAAGACCATGCCACTGCACTTCGCCTGGGCAACAGGGCAAGACTCTGTCTCAAACAAACAAATAAGTAAATAAATAAAAACCCCTAAACCCAGATTAATAAAGAGCAGGTATGACCTTTTCTACTTCACGAATATTTACAAATATTTCAAATTTTTGTTAATTTTTGTTTGGACTTGGTCACTTATAATATGAACACATCCATGTTGATGGTTAATACTGACACAAGCCACCAAATAGGCACACAGGTGAAAACCACCTGTTCTAGCTTCAAGAAGTAACTCTGGGGCCGGGCGCGGTGGCTCAAGCCTGTAATCCCAGCACTTTGGGAGGCCGAGGCGGGTGGATCACGAGGTCAAGAGATCGAGACCATCCTGGTCAACATGGTGAAACCCCATCTCTACTAAAAATACAAAAAATTAGCTGGGCATGGTGGCGCGTGCCTGTAATCCCAGCTACTCAGGAGGCTGAGGCAGGAGAATTGCCTGAACCCAGGAGGCGGAGGTTGCGGTGAGCCGAGATCGCGCCATTGCACTCCAGCCTGGGTAAAAAAAGGAAAACCCCGTCCCCACTTAAAAACAAAAAAAAAAAAAAGAAGTAACTCTGACACTGGAAACACTTGCCTATTTTCTCTGACTTTCCTATTATCTTAAAAAAAAATGAAAATAAAAATTTTATGGCAGCAAATTGATTATTTTTCTATTAAATAAACTGCACCATCTTGCAGATGATGAAGGCTACGATCTCTTTTTTCCACTTTGGTTGTGACTTTTCCTGGCTGGAGTCACTTCCCAGAATTAGCTCACAGGGGCTACAGGAGGGATTTTCTCCCAGAGTCCATTTCTCTGGGCACTGAGTAGACACCAAGAGCGTAGTCAGTGGCTTTCAAAGCCATTTGTTTTAATTTTTGTTTTTTAAATTATTTTTTGAGACGGAATTTCGCTCTTGCTGCCCAGGCTGGAGTGCGATGGCGCGATCTCCGCTCACCGCAACCTCCGCCTCCGGAGTTCAAACGATTCCCCTTCCTCAGCTTCCCAAGTCCTGGGATTACAGGCATGCGCCACCACACCTGGCGAATTTGGTATTTTTAGTAGAGACCGGGGTTTCTCCATGTTGGTCAGGTTGGTCTCGAACTACTGACCTCGGGTGATCCACCCGCCTCGGCCTCCCAAAGTGCTAGGATTACAGGCTTGAGCCACCGTGCCTGGCCCAAAGCCATTTATATAGAGAGCTGTGACTAAGGAATTCTGGGGACCGGTAAAGAATCTGTAAGGGTAACAGAAGGAACTGCAGTTGAAACTACTAAAGAACCAATGACAAAGCCGGGCGCGGTGGCTCAAGCCTGTAATCCCAGCACTTTGGGAGGCCGAGGCGGGTGGATCACGAGGTCAAGAGATCGAGACCATCCTGGTCAACATGGTGAAACCCCGTCTCTACTAAAAATACAAAAATTCAGCTGGGCATGGTGGCACATGCCTGTAATCCCAGCTACTCAGGAGGCTGAGGCAGGAGAATTGCCTGAACCCGGGAGACGGAGGTTGCGGTGAGCCGAGATCGCGCCATTGCACTCCAGCCTGGGTAACAAGAGCGAAACTCCGTCTCAAAAAAAAAAAAAAAAAAAAAAAAAAAAAGAACCAATGACAGCAGCAGCAGAGGAAACCAAGGGAAGCAGCCGTCACTGTCACTGCAAGTCTGCAGCGAAGCTCCTGCGACTCCAGCGCTTTGAGCTGTGTTGCACTCTGCTCCACCACAGGCCGCTTTTCTGAGAATATGCTGAGTTAAGAACAAACTCATTTCTGTAGTGTGGAGGATTTATCTGTGGGAAATTAGTTAAATCTTTCTGGAAAGGATTACGGGTGAGAAATTTTTTCGGTAAATAGGACAGTTTTACTAAGACGTATTTTTACCAAGCCATGTGTATTGGGGTATGTGACAGGAACCATTGCCAAGCTTCCTGGGCTGTAGCAGTCAGTACATGAAGGATTAGCGATGTAGAACTCAGCCTCATCCATTTTGCTTTTTACCCAGTTCTCTTATTTCAGGGAAATGAGGAAAGGACTCCATTTTTAAGATTAAATATCTCTAAGCCCTGTTTCCCCTCACGCTCCACTGGGTTGGACCAACCACATGTTATCTCAGCATCACTACTTCAGATTTTTGATAGGCTTGAATGGAGAGATTGTGAGATTTTAAATGCTTAAATTGACGAAGTGACCTTTGGGGGTATGTTTTGAGGTACGTTATCTGTCAGAGTCCCAGGGGACGCTTGCCTCTTTAAATTTTTTCCTCTTTATTTCTCCAGTACTCAACCCTGAGATACAGATAAAACAGTTTCTCTTTCTTTTTTGGGGGAGTGCTATTTTTACAACAGGGCGCCCTCCAGCGATTCTGGAATCTCAAACAATAGAATTCTAGCGTCTTGGGGAGAGAGCAACAGGACTTTAATCTTATTTTAGTTGATGGACGCAAAAAATAAAAAGTGCTGATCACTTTAGAGTGTGTCCCTAATGTGATTCCTGGAACACAGACAAAAATTTCTTCCAAGACGGATTTTTAGATTCAAGAGCAGAGTCGAAAAGTCAACAGCAAAAGAGGAGGTCAAGGCTCGGAAAGGACCCGGGCCGCCCGATTGCTCTACAAGGGCGCCTTCCGAAACCGTCTCGGATTGGGCCAGAAATACCGCAGCCCCGGTCACGTGACCCACGCACGTGATCTAGATAAACTAGGGCGGGCGCGCACCCACCAGAGCAGTCAAAGTCAGAGATGTGCGCATGCGCGGGGCGCTAGGGGCCTGTGGAAAGCGCTCTGGATCCTACTTCCGCGTCGCTTCCTCTGGGCAGGTCCATCTTACTTGAACAGAAACTTGTGGGTCGGGTCCTTAGGACCTTCCTTTTCTTTACTGTCTTTTCCATTTTGCAATCCTTGTTAACGATTAACCA